ATCCTCCCACCCCCCTCCCCTCTAGAACCCTCAGTTTGTTTTTCAGAGTCCATCGTCTCTCCTGGTTCGTCTCTTTCTTTTTTTTTTTGCGAGAGAGCACTTGCATGCGAAAATCGGGTGAGGGGAGTGGGAGGAGGGGCAGAGGGAGAAGGAGAGAGAGAATCTTAAGCAGGCTCCATGCCTAGCATGGAGCCCGTGTGGGGCTCAATCTCACAACCCTGAGATCATGACCTGAGCATAAATCAAGAAGCAAAAGCTTAACTGATTGAGCCACCCAGGCACCCCAGGCCTGGGTGTAATTAAATGAACTTTTACTGATAAATTTTTACTGAGATTAAGGTGATTGTAAAGGAAACTTACAGTGAGATTCTTTTGCATTTTTTTCTCCCAACAGCTACCATTTTATCCTGTGGATGGATTATTTATCTCACATATTACAATTCTCGAAATGTTGGTCTTATTTTAACACTGGTTCTTAATAGATTATACAAACATGGCTATATCCATATTGGTAAGTTTGAGTAACATTGAATGTTTTTCTTCTGCATAATCTTGAGATATATATTACAAATTTATATTTTATTAGTGGTAGTAGCTTTAGAAATTTACCTTTGTTTCATGAACGTTAACCTAACTGAAATTTCTCTCATGCAGCACTCTATGACTCTATCACTTGGTTAAGTTCTTTACCTCATTCTTATTTCTTAAAGTGTTTCTATAGTAACTTTTGGATTTTTTTTTCTTATAGAAGATGCTCATTAAAACAATTTAAAAAATATAGGCACATACAAAATATGGAAATAAAAATTTCTCAGGATTCTACTATCCAAAGAAAGTTTCTAACGCACAGTGAGGTTTTTGCTGGGTTTTTTTTTTTTTTCAGTAACCCATACTTAAAAAATCTATAATTTGGAATCATTTTGTGCATTTCATTTTGTGACCTGCATTGTTAATTTAAGTTTCCAACTACTCGTAAGTGGGAAGTTTGCAGATATGAGGGTCTATTTGGAACCAGTATGCTTCAGAAAGCCCTCAATCAGTGGGAAAAGGGGTGAGAGGTCACTGTCTAGAACCATTCCAGCCTTCCTTAGAGTACTTCTTAGAGGACATAAATAAAATTTCCGTGAAACATAAGTCATCTTCCACTAATTTGAGGCAATGACTGGTTCCTGGAGTCAAAGAAATTAATGGAGAAAGTTGGTGAATTAGTCACTGCTTTGGGGTTTATTTAAAGTTGTGCATAATTAAAGGAATTATTCATATGAAACAGCTATTCAGTGTCTTCATGTGGTTATTTAGTAGCTCAGTTCATAGTGATGGTACTTACTGTACTTTTGTTTGTTTGTTTTTTTAAAGATTTTATTTATTTATTTGACAGAGAGATAGCGAGAGCAGGAACACAAGCAGGGGGAGTGGGAGAGGGAAAAGCAGGCTTCCTGCCGAGCAGGGAGCCCGATGTGGGACTCGATCCCAGGACCCTTGGATCATGACCTAAGCCGAAGGCAGACGCTTAATGACTGAGCCACCCAGCTGCCCTGTACTTTTTGTTATATTTGAGGAAAGAGCAATAGAAAATTAGTAAGGCTGGAAGGGTATCAAGAGGGAGTCAGGAGAGAACATTTAATTATTGAATAAACTGAATGCTAAGATTATTTTAAGCTTTAAGTGCTCACTCTGGATCAAAACAATTCCATTAACCACTTTTTTTTTTCCCCCTACAACAGGGTCCTTCTCTTTCTCTGTTCTTTCTGGAAAAATCATGGTTCGTGAAATTTATTACATTACAGAAGACATGTCTATTAGGTAAAAAAAAAAAACAAACAAAAAACTCATTTTAAACAAACTTGAAATATTGTAAAAAATTTTTTCTGATGATATTTAATATTTGCTTTTTAAAATCCATAAATCAAAAATAATTTTTTTGTAAATAATATCTGGTGAATTGATGTTTAAAAATATTTTTATCAGATTAATTTAGCTAAGGTTTAGACTGGCACGAAGTTTATCAAATAGCAGCTTAAAGAAACGAATAATCTCATTTCATTCCTAGATGAACACTTGAGCCTTAAATTACCTGACCACTTTTCTTGTAGAATTCATGGTGGTCATTTGTTACATAAAACAAGGATCAGGGTTGCTGATAACTCATCCACTAGCTCCTTATTATAGGTAATAAGTTTTAATAAGTTTTAAGTTTTTTGTTTAGTATCTGTTAGCTACTTTAATTTTACAGTAAGGAGGAAACACAAATCTGAATATAATAAGAAATGACAACTGTTATGTTTGCTATGTTCTTTCTTCTGTAGGCCTTGAAAGAAAAGCTTACTCTATTTTTGTGATTATCTTAACATTTGTTACTTAGAACTTGAAAGTTTTAAATTAGTTGAGAGGTGGTAGGGTTTGGCAATACTCATACCTCACTTAAAATAGTAGAGGCAATTTCTTTGTGAGTCTAAAATTATTTTGAAAAGAAAAGTAAAAAGTAAAGGTTGAGAGGCTATAAGTTCATTCTTTTGAGGCATGAGGTTATATATGACTACAGAGAAGAAGGGGTATCTTTAAAAGTTTCTGTTAGCATCCTAATGTCCCCCTTTTCAAGATTTGGCTTTTTGTTTATATAGTTTTTACACCATTTAAAAATTATCATTTATAAAAGAAAAAAAGTTTTTCTGTTAGCACTTCATTTTCCTATTACTTATGATCTGGTATTAAATTTTACCTAAATAGAATAATCTAATTTAGAGCTACGTAAATTTTCTTTTCCTTTTTTAACTAGAGATTATGAAGCATTTATGTATACCAGTGATCTGTTGAGAATTTTCTGTATTTTCATATTCATTATCAATTGCCTGCTTTTTATAATAATTAAATGAGTAAATTGTTACTGAAGTTTTCATTTTTTGTAATTTATCTTGCATAGAATTCAAGATGGATTTATAATTTTTCGGTGGTGGAAAATGTATAATCCAAAACAGAAACAACATGGTGAGTCTTCATGTTTTTATGTATTTGAAGTCTTTAGTTATATGATCAGTGTTTTCATTTATGGACATTAAAACGTTTCACATTTTATAATAGATAAAAATATTTTTTAAAACTTTGGCACTTATAAACTCTGATTTTATCACCAGTTGGCTGAAAATTCTTCAGCAGCTTTCCTTTTGCCTGCTTAAATTTATTTACTTAAGCATATTATTTATTCAGGGTTATCCTCAGTATGACTCTTACTCCCATAGCCTTACCTCCTATTACATCTGTGGACCTAACCCATTCTGTGGTTAAAATGGACTTCCTAGTAGTCTTTAATCATTTCTACTAAGACACTTTTCTTATTTTTCAGCTTCTGTGCCTTTTTCATAGTCCTACCTGACACTGCTACTAATTCTCATTTATCTACTATGCTAAGGATGAACAGGAAAGAGGAAATGAAGGCTCTAGACTCTTCCAGCTCTGCTTTTATCATCAGTATTTTATCACTTCAGAATTTTCTCCCAAGGTCTTCATTGCACAACTCTATAGGTGCTCCTGTGCCCCTAACCCTCCTACCCGACATTAATCATACCAGTGACTTCAAGGAATGTAGACCTTGACTTTACTGCCTAGAATAGTGGTTCTCAAACTTTTCAATCTCAGTAACTGTACATTCTTCTAAATTACTGGGGACCCCAAAGAGCTTTTAGTTATGTAATTTATATTGATATGTGCTGCATTCAAAATTCAGCCTGGGGGCACCTGGGTGGCTCAGTCGGTTCGGCGTCTGACTCTTGATTTCAGCTCAGGTCATGATCTTAGGGTCCTGAGACTGAGCTGTGTTGGGTTCTGTGCTGGGTGTGGAGCCTGCCTGGGATTCTCTCTCTCCCTCTCCCTTTGCCCCTCCCCCTGCTCACACTCACATACTCTCTCTAAAATAAATAAATAAAATCTTA